CGCGGCGGTGCGCGGGGCGGGAGCAGCGGCGGCGGCGTCCCGGTGCTGCGTGAGGGAGCCCGCGGGGCCGGCCCGCCGCGGCTGGAAAGCGAGGAGAAAGGGGGGTGTCAGGTGCCCGCGTCCTCCCTGCGGCTCTGGCCACCCCCGGGGACAGTGGGGGACCTGGGGCCGGCGAAGGAGGAGGTGCCGTGGGCAAAGCGGCGTGTCTGGGGGTGGACTGGGTGTAGCGTTTGGGCCTCCCCGGGCCTGAGGTGGGTCCGTGGGGCGCGTTTCAGGTGCCACCAGCCTGGCTTTCTTTGCCGTGAGAACAGATGTGTTCCAGAAGAGATCTTCTTAATTTGTCCCCTCTGAGGGTGGCCACGTGCGAAGAATGATTTTCATAATTAAAATGGCTCTTGGTGTTTTGAGGATCAGACCGAGAGTATTGTTGTCGCCTTTTAAAAGACAGTGTTAATAGACTGACTTCTCTCTGTTCAGAAGGGTGCTAGCCGTGTCCAGACTGGCTTCATGGCCACCGTCTGAAGAAGGTAGTTACCTTCATCAGTGACCGGTCTGAGGGAAGGAGGGGAGAGTGTGTTTTGTTGGGGTTTTTTCTTAAAGGTTATTTCTAACCTGTTAAATAACAACAACAAAGTCCACATGACTCAAATAAAAAAAAAACCACCCCAGAACAAAAAAAAAACCAACCCAACAGCAAAAACCCACAGTACTCGTAGGTCTTTATTAGATCAAGGTCTTGGGAGTTAATTCCATTGAGATGTCCATGTGCGCATGGCAATGTGCTCAACTCTTTCAGTGTCTTTCTATTAGTTTTACTTTTAGCTGATGCTTCTACTTAGTTTAGCAAAGATGTATGTGCTTATTAAATTAGTTTCATTTTTATATCTAATTTTGGTTTTCTCAAGTTCTGTGAGTTAAAGAATGAAAGAGTTCATAAGATGCATTCAGCCCTCTTGTTAACGCTAATGCCTTAATGCTTGAGGAAATAATTTTCTCTCATGTTGGAGGAGTAAGGGAAGATTATGGTTAGAGGTTGATTCCACATGTGGTTAAAGTACTCTACAATTTTTTCATTTTTGATATGATTTCATTCGTAATGTTTGCAATGGCAAAGTACAAGGGTGCTTTTATTTGGTTTTGTTTAGCAGTTCCACAGAATAGAATTTAAAACAGAAGTAGCCACAGTGCCGTTGCTGTGGGCTGGCCTGTAAACCTGAATTGTAAACCTTCTGCAGCGCTTGTGATGGAAAGTGGCAGTAAATGGCATGAATCCATTTTGTTCGTAATGCTTGCTCCAGACAAATTATAACAAGTGGAGAATGTAAATACAAAATGGTATAGAAAAATATTAGAAAATTCCCGGTATGGTACATCAAATTTAGGTAGAGGATCCATTGGTAGCTGAGCAGGGAAGGCAAACGGACATAACAAATGTATAATAATTTTTTAGACTTAGGTTTACTACTTTGCATGTTATAACATGCATAGAATCATAGAATTGTTTAGGTTGGAAAAGACCTTTAAGATCATCAAGTCCAATCATTAACCTAGCACTGCCAAGTCCACCACTAAACCATGTCCCTAAACACCACATCTACACGTCTTTTAAATATCTCCGGGGATGGTGACTCAACCACTTCCCTGGGCAGCCTGTTCCAAGGCTTGACAACCCTTTCAGTGAAGAAATTTTTCCTAGTATCCAGTCTACATGTTACGTGTTGTTAAGTTCAGACTTTGCACAGAAAGAAAATTTGGAAATTCAAGCTATATTTGAAAGGAAAATAATTCATATTTTACTTGAGGGGGAGAAAGATAATATTGCTGCCATCGGTCTGTTTCAGGTTCGTAAACAGACTCAAAACAGAATTGTCTGTGCATTGTTTGCTTCTTTTTAATAGTGTTCAGAAGAACGTATAATGCTAAAATCTAAGAACAGCCTGAAAGACAAACCTTTCGGAAGGTTGTTGGGTTTTGTTTGGCATCACAGTCTACTCTCTTTCACCCTCCTGGAAACTGTCTGGTGTATATATGTATCTTTGTTTGAAAGGAACACGTGCTGTCTGCATAAGAATTCACCCTGTATATCTGTTCATAGCACTTCAATCTGCAGGGGTTTTGGCTATAGGCTGAGTTGGTAAGACTAGGAAAAAACACATTGAGAGTCAGATCTCAACTAACTTTCAAATGGAACTGTGGCATTAAGGTTTTTGAGGAGCCTGCCAGAGGTTTTAACCTCAACTCATCTCAAGCACTTTTACAAAACTTTGGGAGTATTTGATACTTCCCCTAAAGCCTGTGTGTAATATTAGCATAATTAAATATGAAGATCCCTTTTATTGCTTTCGACTAGGTTTTGAAGTGAGTTAACATAAAACTTTGTAGTAAAAGTAATTGTCTTTTCTAAGGGGAACAGCAGGTATTTTATCACACTTCTTAAGAAGTTCATCAGTATTTTTTGTTTATTGCTGTTATCAGCAAATAAGGTAAGTTGCAAGTAAGAGGTAAGGCCTTGTGCCTGATTAGGAGGTACTTAAGCTGTTGGATGTAGTAAGAATTTCTTAAATTTATGCTGTGGGACTAGAAGTTTTGAGTCCATCTTCATTGGAAAGGGGATTGAGGTTATTCTAGAAAGTTCTTTTTTAGGATTTGGGGGATTAACTTTGTGATTTAGAAATTAGGTCAATCTGGTATAAATATATTCGGCATTGTATAGTTTTCTTTCTAAATGTATAGAATAATTCTTGTTGTACACTTCTGTGTGATACAGGTGACACTGGCCAAGGAGCAAGAACGTGGATAAAACAAATTTTGAATCAAGACATGGCTTTCCAACATGTAAAAGTAATTTACCCAACAGCTCCTGCCAGGTATTGTTTAATATATTTTAACTCTAGGATTAAATTATTCCAGTACCATAAAATACACTTGTGAATGTTGGTACATACTGTCATAACACTACATCTTTCTCATCTGTATTCTTTTTGGCAAAACTGGAGCTCAACAGTGCATTGCTGCCCAGGGACTGTGATTTTAAGTGGTTAAGACTCTAAATGGTTAAAACTTCACAGAAGTCATAGTCTCTAATTCAAATTCAGGTATTGTCATCATAGTACCTTTCCATCTCTTTGATATAAATAGAAGATACTCCAATGTGTGTTGTAATGACAATATAGAGCCATATTCTGGATCACCATCCTACCTATATTAACTCTCATAAATTAACCACTAAAATATTCTGTTGTACTTAATGCCAGGTTTCAGTTCTGGAGGTGGTCAGTCTTTTTGGCAAGTAGGATGTGAAAGATCTTCAGCTGCTGGAGAAAGGACTGGGAGTTTAAATTTACACATTTCTTCTAGTTTGAATCCTGACCCAACCGTTTCAGAGAGAATTGAGTTCAACATTTGCTGTAGACACAATTCTCGTTATTAAATGACACTGCATGTTCAGTGGTAGACCAGAAATATAGATGAAAAATATTTACCCCTGGGAATTTGAAAGCAAATGAAGTTAATGAGGTCAAACCTAAAGGCTAAAAGTTGGACACCTACCTCCATATTTAGCTATGTAAAGACATGGCCTTATATTTCAGAGATGTTTAATTTTTCTTAATACAAAATCATTTTTAAGGTGTCTGTGGCTCTAAGTTAGGAAAATGTTTCCTTGAAAGGTAATGGGGCTTAAGTTTCTTTCTGAATTTGTGTGTAAGTGTGGATGAATGCTGAAAGGAAAGGGAAATTGTGACATTCTACACGGACTTTCGAGGTACAGAGGTTTGAAAAAAATTTTCTTGGAGGGTATAAACAAGTATAATAGCAGATTTTGTCTGGCACTCGCTAATATGTGGAAAAAAAACTTTCCTTGACTATGTATTTTTATGATCTACTTAGGCAGGAAAAGCAATTGAGAGATTGCAGTGTGAATGTACTCACTGTGTTACCGAAAACTCAAGCCTGTGAGTGGAAGTCTTTGAAGCAGTGTGTTTTGGGTTAGTAGGTAGTGAATGTGATTTTCTCTAAATAATGTGCTTATCACTTCATTGATGACAGGCTAAAGTGATGCTAGAGTTATCAGTGGCACATCACACATACTGACGGGCTCTATTTCTTCCCTATCAACACAGCAGGGAAATGCAGGAGGTTTTGCTTCCCTGTGAAACGCTCTATCTTCACGTGTTATATGCAGCCAGAACACTTCAGACCACATCTGTTAGGCCAGTGCTTCACTTTTCCATCCCACTGCACTTCTGGGGTCCAAGCCTTTTCCTGTTAGTTTTAGTTTATTTGGATAATTACAGCTGTAAACTACGCATAAATGATTAACCAGCAAGATCTCCTGACTCAAATGAGTTGCATTTATGGGGAATTTGTTTTTATCTTAAGTCTTTGGATTTCAGTACTTTGGTAAACAGATGGGAAGATACTGTTGTAATTAAAGGATGTGAATAAACAGTTAATTCCACTCTTATGCCTTTTTAAATTGAGGTTACTCTTTTTCTTCTCTAGAGCAGATAGATGTCATGCATGAGTTGATTCAGAAGTGATTTTTAGCAAAACTGTGAACAGTTGTATATTCAAAGAATAAAAACTACCACAGTGTTTGTCTTTGACTGGCAATATGAAGTACGCTTGGGAATATTAGTGTTGCTGATAAGCACCATTAGCTGACGTAGTGAAATAAAACAGATGCCCTTAAGTACAATAATGTTTGCCACTGCAGCAACGCTGAAGTGAAGTTGGTGAACATACATATTAGTGGTTGAAACCGAAATAGCAGAAGCCTTTACAGACCCATTTCATGTTGTTTTGGTATTAAAAGTCCAAAACACGCTACGCTTTTTGAAACATTTGTAATGGTTTCTCTCCTTTCTTCCACAGAAAGGAAAAACAAGGCCTAAAACATCCAAACTTGCATGGCAGACATTAAAATAATTGTATCTGCATTATGAACTTGAATATATGGTCTGATTTTATGTGTGTGTGTATGTATATATGTTTTGATAAGAATTCCAGATGCTTCTGGCACCAGTGGGGGAATTCAGCATCCTTGATAATGAGACCTATAGGTAGATGGTTATTGGTGTGCAGATATGCTGAAGAAGGTTCTGATCCAGTCTTTGATTGTGTAGAGACAGAGTGACATGCTGGTGGAAAGCTACACTGATGTGAGTGAGAGTAGAGCCTCTGTGGGTGGCAAAACCTGCCACTGCATTGTCAATTATAGGAGCAGAGTGCAAAGCTTGCCGGCAGGTTTTTACACTGATGATGAAATCATATAAAAGCTTGAAGCTAGGCAAGACCATACTAGGATTGCTTGGCTAATACGCTCTTCTGGCAAAATACTGTTAATGTGGATGTAGTTCATACTCTATAAACTCCTGTCTTTTCCAGCATAACTTACCACATACACATTGAACGCTCTTCGTCAAAGTAGCTATGCCAGTAAAAGCAGGTTTGACGATATAACTGCAATGCAAGAGGCTTTGGCAGGATAAACTGCAGGTCAGGAATACCTCTTCACGTTTTTGATGGATATAATTCTGCTGAAAGGTCTGTAGACTAGTCTTGTACATTCTTCACCTCTATTAAATAGATGTCTGAAAGGCAGTGGAATTCACACTTTTTAAGAAAACATTGAATTTTTTTTTTCTTTGTGGAGGATGGATGGGGTTTATATTTACATTTTGTTTAGATTTTTATCCCAGTCACTGCAATATACATATTTTTCATTTACTACAACATCAGAGGTTCAGACATGTTTTGATTCAAGAGTCAATATGTTTGAAAATTATTTTGGCAAACTAGCCCAGCATATAATCTGGAAGAATTCTAAAAACATGTTTTCTGGCTTCATTAGCATTGATTTCAGCAAAGGCTAGAGAGGGTACTTCATTTTAGAGGCAAAAAGCAATAGAACATTACTGAACTATATTTTATAAAACTGTTTTTTACTATTCTCTATAGGTCTCTGTAACATGTTACACTTTTTAAAAAAAGATTTACTTTTCTTTAATAATTTTTGTAATGTGCAGGGTCTGTGTAGAGAATGGTTGCCAGATGTTCCCCTGGCCAGGTAAAGTGTTTGCAGCACTTTGTCACACTCATCCCCTGTCACTTTTGGAAAGTCCTGTAAGTGTCATATTTGGTTTTTTCCTGAGCAAAAATAACAGAACATAGATAGTACAATTTACTATTACAAAAGAAAAACTTGCAAAATCTCTAAGTAAAATATGTGGATTTGAATTCTCAGTGGGATGTAGTGAGAGTAGTGGCACCTGAATTATTTGGAGTATGTTTGGAAATTAAATGCATGTAGCTGGGGCATGCAAATTTTGCTTTACAAATGAAAATTTTTAGACATTGCTTAGAGAGGTTTTGTTTTTTCTCTGCAATGTAGGCAACGGGCATACTTAAAAATTAGTATAGAACTTTTCTTCTTTTAACTTTTATCTAGCCTTATTTCAAGGTCAGTGCTTCTGTACATAGATTAAACTTGTTAAACACCACAGAGTTCTATTTCTTCTCCCTTGTAATGCTAATGCATATCTTTAATTAAAAAAAAGAAGCTCAAATTGCAGCCCTAGCAGCTGATGCAATCCCAAAAGCCACGTCTACAGTAATAGTTTTAAAGGAAAGGGTTTCCTTTTTCCTTTTTTATTTGGGTCAGGATGGCTACAGCTTTAAATACTGTTTCAGCTGCTACAACTGTGACTTAAACATTAGGTTTCTATTGAGTTTCTAAATCAGAACTGAATACCACCCAATATAACCTTCTCTCTCTCTCTTTTTTTTTTTTTTTTTTTTTAATAAAAAGTGATAGTTTAAATTGGCATTGCAGGAGCTAACGTGGTAAAGTTAAAACCATTTAGGCTCCTTGTTTTAATAAGTATACCTTACCTTCTATAATTCCCTTAAAAAATCTAGGTCAAAGATTCTTTGCGTTGTCTAGCATTCCATTCTGACAGTCTTCTTTTGCAAGTCAGAAACTAAACTATAAATACTTTTGGGGCTATTTTGTGGATCTTTTTGACATCCACTCAATGTACCTTTCTGTGGCCAATAAGTGTCTATGCAGAGTTTGTTGTCTTTTTTTTTTTCCCCCCAATTTATTCTGATTTCCCTTGTCTCTAAGTATGGGGCTGGTAAGGACTGCTCAGCATTATATGGACTGGTACTCCATCCTTTCACCTAAGTTTACGTCTTTTCTCAGCTCATGGATGGAAATGAGTTTCATCTCATCGTAGTCCCCATTTGGCTATATCGCAAAACCACCAGACAGTTTGGCACCATTCAGCTACATTGGCAGTCTCTGCTTGTGAGAGGCCTAGGATTGGAAAAGCAGCAGGGGTACTGCAGGTCAGACTTGAGATGGATTGGCAGAGCAGTGTAGGGGAGCATGCACAATGCCTATCATACTATTTTTGGCTCAAGGAAATGTTATTAATCCTTCACTTTGGTAAGCCCTAACCTCATTCATAAATTTAACACAAAGAAGTCTTTTTAGAGGAAGTTTGAGGGACAAATGGAAAGGGGTTTGGTTGGTATCATGGGGTGGTTCTTTCATCTCCTTCTGTAAGTAGAAATTTAACATATTCTGCATAATAATGATAGAAGCATGCTTGGATAAACTTCATATTTTCCTTTTATTTCTCCTCTTGCATTAGGTGAGGAAAACATGGGTATGCGTACATGTAATGCTTACATCATATACTAAATACTAGGTGGAATGCAATAAATGCTTGTCAGAGATACTTTAGTCATGCTTGGCAAAAACAAAGTAGAACATGATGGCAATGATCTTGGATTTCTAATCCCTTTAACAACGTTGTATTCTTATACGTCCTTCCTCTTGTTTTTATTCTCTCAACCG